GCGGGCACACGCCGACACGGCCGGGAGATCACGCCGCACACGCCTGGATGTGAAGGTGAAGGTGCGGGCACACGCCGACACGGCCGGGAGATCACACTGGATGCACCTGGACTCCAAGGCAAAGGTGCAGCCCAGCCCGAGCCGGCCAGGAGATTACAGCCGGATGCCATCGACCACTGGACGGCCTCCTCAGGCTCCCCCTAGCAAACTGACTCCCTACAAAATCCTGATCCAGTCTGCACCTCTGTGTTATCATCACACAGAGGAGGAGGAATTCTGAGAGCAGTCACGCTTCAACCAGACGCAGTTTCCTAAAAGGTGCCTCTAGTGGGGAGTGTTAAACGTTCACAAACCTGCTGGCACTGAGCTCCTGGGAGAGAACCCCGGGGGGGCCTTCCGGGCCTGGGGGTAAAGAGTCACCCGGGGAAACGACAGAGGGGTTCAAAGGACATGAAACTCCCAGAGCAGTCTCCTTTTCTATGAGGGCGATACACTTACTTTAAGTACCGCTGATATTCACAGGTATGTTTTCCTTGAACCGCGTGAATGTTGACCAATTCCAGTGCAATGAGCAACAAAATCAGGTAGAGGACAGGGGACAGGAGCTTAATGCTGAAAACAGATAAACAAAAACGTAACAAATATTTCCCCCTCACGAGGAAAACAACGTCCCACCTAGCCAGCACGTTTGTCCCACATTCTCAGAGGGGTGGGGCACACCCATGGCATTTTCTGAAAACGGCGGCCCCAGGTCCGCCTCCCCCGCCAGCCGGCCACCTTAGGGAGCCCAGGTGGCTGTGCTTCTTACCCCGAGGACATGGGTTTTCTCATTTATTCACCTTACAGGGCACCTTCCTACTACTACCTGTACCTGGATGTCCCTCAGTCTCAGCCGCCCCACACTGGCTCCGTGTCCTCGTGTCTGACCCGCCCTGTCCGTCTGTCATGACCTCAGCACCCCACACTGGCTCCGTGTCCACGTCTGACCCGCCCCGTCCGTCTGTCATGACCTCAGCACCCCACACTGGCTCCACGTCCACGTGTCTGACCCGCCCCATCCGTCTGTCATGACCTCAGCACCCCACACTGGCTCCGTGTCCGCGTGTCTGACCCGCCCCGTC